AAAAAAAAAAGATTTATTGGAGTTCTGGGATATTTAACGAGTGGGCGAGTGGTTGGTACGTAATCCCCTTGGTCTCGATTTTCCTTTAATGATCGGCAAAGTGAAAATAATCTTTTTTAAGAGAAGATTTACAGAAACCATAGTAATAGTGGTTAGTATTAGTAGTAGTAGAAGAATATCCATTTTTATCCCAAAGATCATTTTAGGAAGTGATACTCTCAGTAAATATTAATACTTCCGAATGAGGACATATTAAAGCTTTAGTTTTCGTGGTACGTATGTAAACAGCCCAAAATTTATAAAGAAAAAAAATAGCAGCAGTAACAATTTAAGTCCTAACACTACAACAAAACTACACTGTTTTCTGCTTGGTTCTACTTTAATAAAAATAGATATATTCTGGGAGTTTACTGTCTTGAAGATTTTTATCAAAAAGAATATGTTTTTTGAGTTTATCTTGTCATATAGTCGATCACTCTACTCTTGGCGGATGTTGCTATTTATTTATTATTTGCTATTAGCTTACTATTAAAAGGTTTATGAATTATTAGTATATTAATTATAACTTTTTTGATTTAACAATGTCACCTCATCAAATCTTGAATTGCTTGTAGTTAAATTGTAATTCATTACCTGGACGTTATGGATAATAATCAGCAAATCTAAAGGCTGGTCTTATTATAGCTAAGTTAATGAAAATAGTAGCAGGGACAGACAATGTCCTGAAGGATCATTTTCATATTAATATTGAGAAGTGAATGATAATCAATTAAATTAATTGCTTATAGTAACAATTGGCCAGCTTCAAAATACTAAAATTTATATTATTTTAAAAAAGTTAACCAATAAGTTTTATTGTTCATGACTCGAGCTTCAAAACTTATCGACTAGTTTTTTCTTAAACTAAAAATTGGCAGAGCATTAGCATTTTGAAAATTCCAAATTTTGTGAAATTAAGTAAATTTGTGTAACAGTGTGTTTTTCATAGAAATAAATAATATATATACAAAAATATGAGACGAATTTTTTTTTTTCATGGAAATTCTATTTTGTTCAACATTTGCAATTATCACATTTACATTTACATTTTAGAGTTACATACATATTAAAATTCGTTTGAATTATAACTTTAAATTAAAGAGTTTTTTATGTATTTTCTTTTTTGCATGATGTATAAATATATGTATTCGAATTTTTTTTTTTTTGTGATCTTACATATCCTTTGATACATAATAATAAAGTTTTATATTAATATAATACTTTCCCATTATTGAAGAAATAAAATACGCATATTTGTATATACAGTTCACACTCTCTATAACAAAATCTCTATAATAAACTTCGCTTTTTTATATAATAATAATTAATTTCTCCTTATAATCTTAATAAACACAAATAAAAAATCACATATAGAGAGAGTGAACTGTAGTAAGTGGGAAACTATTAATAAGAATCCCGTAAAATAAATAAATGTTTAAAATAATAAAGTAAACATACATAGTCAAATAAAAACCAACATAAAGATCCATATCAATAAGAAAGTTCTGGAAGAATTAATGTTATATGCTCTGTATGTAATTTTTATCTTTTACGCATTTTAATGGAGTGTGGTCCTAATACCTTTAAATATCACTAATAGGTATGTATCTTTTCCTGCACATTTATATATTTTTTTAGTGAAAGAGCAAGGTATATATATACAACTTTTTATTTCTTTAAAAAAAAAGAGATATATGCTTTTCTTATAATAAAAAATAGTGAAATAAACTAACTTTAATAATAATAATATTTTATTCTCTACAAAGGTTGTAATTTTTGATCTTAAAGTTGGAACAAAAGAAAATAGATTGAAAAGAAGAAGGATCGAATTAGTAAAACATTTTTATTTATACGGCAGTTTTTTATATTCATACTTCATATACGTTGCTTGTTCTCATATATATCATATCATTCATATATTTTATGATAAATTTTATCATCTACCTTATATATTTTATATTGAATTCTGTTTATTTGACTAAAAGTTATGCAATTTTTTGCTTCATATGTAACGATTAGATTGATTCGCATCCAAACTTACCCCACATATTTAAATGAAAGTGCACAAGAAAAGATAATAACTGCATAATTTTTTTTAAAAATAGTTGTTTAATGAATGGTGCTACCCATAACGACACGTATTTTTGAGTACTTTAAACAATTATGAATTTACGTCATACGACATAAATTAAATTTATCACAATGATTATCAAATTGTGACATAAATAGAATTTCCACTATGCTTACATGATTTTAAAAGCTGGATTTAAATGGTGGTGGTTTTTTTAAAATCAAACATGTAGATTCAATTTTATAGATGATCCGCACTGTACTATATATGCTTTTTGTAATACCTAGCTGTACCCTTATTTATATGTTACACCAATTATTAAAGTTTTCGGGGTTCCTTCCTACTAGATATTATTTTCCTTAAAAAAAGTTTTTTTAGTAATAATTAATAATGACAGAAAAGAATCAAGGTTTATCAAATATTCAATATATCGAAACAACATCATTACCTGATGATATACCAAAAGTTGATGAAGTTGGTTCAAGTTCTGCACCTTTAAAATCTGCTGCTTTCTTTATTGGAAATTATTGTAAAGATTATAACGATGATTTTATTTTATGTAAAAATGAAAATAATGATCCAACACATTGTTTAAAAGAAGGTAGAAAAGTTACTAGATGTGCAATTGATTTGTAAGTTATCATAAATTTATTATTATTATATTTTTTTTTGTTCAATTGTCACAAATAATTTAATTCTTTTTTTTATTCTTTGGGTTGATGATTATGATGATGATGAAAAATAAGACTTCGCAAATTAAAAGAGAATTGTGATAAAGAATTCGCAAACCATTGGCAATGCTTAGAAAAACATAATCAAGAATATTATCCTTGTAGGTCAGAAGAAAGAATTTTTAATAAATGTGTTTTTAATACTTTGGTATGTAATCGATTAATTAATTAATAATAGAAGTTTTAAAAAAAATTATTAATTGAATTGAATGTTTTCTTTAGAATTTGGAGAAAATAATTCCAGATTCACCAAAAGGAAAACCACAAGTTCATCTTAAAAAAAATCCAATATATAAATAACGATTAAATAGCAATTATAACAAAATAATAAAATGTTTAATTTAAAAATATTCAATTTAATATTCAAAATTAGATTTTGATTTTATTATTTCAAAAATGTAAATTTTTTTTTATTGATTAGATTTTGTACCAAAATAAATAAATTTGTAATTATAATCAATCAATCGCTGCTTTTTAAATAAATTTCATTAATTTACTTAAAAAAAGATAAGAATGTCTAATCTTGATTTTAAGATTAATCTTGCTCATGCACTTAGTGGTTAGTGGTATTCTTTTTCACCAACGAAATAAAAAAACCTTTATATTTTAACAGTAATATATATTTATATATATAGGTGCGGGCGGCGGTATGATTTCAATGGCTCTTACTTACCCTTTAATCACCGTCAGTTCTCGTCTTCAAGTTCAAAAAGATTCAAAAGGTCCCGGTGCATATAAGGTAAAAATCCATTAATAAATATTTCGAAAAGTCACAATTTTAATACAATTTTATTCCTATAAATGAATTAGGGAAGTAGGGATGCTATTATAAAAATATTAATGAGCGAAGGTGTTAGTGGGTTGTATTCGTAAGAAAAGAATTAATTCATTGGTTTTTTTTAAAAATATATATAATATACTTTTTAATTAATTAACTTGATTTAATAAATAAATAAATAAATATATATATAATGTAGTTTTATTGATTTTTAAGTATATATATATATATATATAATTTTTAATGATTAGCGGGTTAGGCAGTGCTATTTTTGGAATTGCTATAACGAATGGCAAGTTTTTATTTTTTTTATCCACCACTAACAAAAAATCAAATATTATTATTAAAATTAAAATTGTTATTGTTATTGTTTATTATAGGTGTATATTATTATTTTTACGAATTGACCAAAAGTAAAATTATTAATCCAAGTGAGTTTATTGGTGATATATCAGTAAAGCAATCAATGATTGCAAGTTCTATAGCCGGTGCTGCTACTGTACTAATTACAAATCCTATTTGGGTTGTCAACGTAAGAAATTCAAAAATATTCATATTATTTATAACTTTACATATTTAATTATTTATTTAAAGTAATGATAAATTTTTGGTAAATTTAGACACGTGTAACAACACGTAAAGAAACACTTGATGAATCCACCATCACCACCTCTTCCACTCCTTCTATCACCGCAAAAACAACAAAAAAACCAATAAAAAAAATAGGAACATTAGAAACAATTATAAATATATTTGATAATGATGGAATTTCTGCTTTTTGGCAAGGTGTAACACCTGCTTTGATTCTTGTAATAAATCCCATCATTCAATACACAGCTTTTGAACAATTGAAAAGTCGGTTAGAAAAAATTAAAACATTGAAAAATTCGGATTTTTTTATTTTGGGGGCTATAAGTAAACTTGTTGCCACCACTTTAACTTACCCATACATGTAAGTATGCAGTAAAAACAACAGTAATAAATAATAAATAATAAATAATAAATAATAATAATAATTTATTTAATATATATAATATTTAAATTATAGTGTTATGAAATCACGTATGCAATTACGTCAAACTTCAAAAGGAAATGGTAGATATCATTCAGTTTTAGATGGAATTAAAAAAATTATTGAAAGTGAAGGAATTAAAGGTCTTTACAAAGGAATCTCTTCAAAATTACTTCAATCGGTTTTAAATGCCGCATTCTTGTTCATGTTTAAAAAAGCTCTTTTCGAAAAAGCTCTATGGTTAATAGTGTATTATCAACGTATATTGAATATAAAAAAAGAGATTTAAATTTCATCATCTCTTAATAATTCTTCCAATTCAAGTTCTTCTTCCATTGTCATAACGGATGATGTTTGAGTATCCGTTGTTGTAGTAGAAGGCTTGGAATCTGATATTTTATCATCATCATCTTTTATGGAATTTTTTTTAATTCTTTCCGCAATATCTTTGGCTATTATTTTATAGTAAATCAAACAAATTCATTAAATATAACTATTCATTAAAACGAATATATATATATATATATATATATAATCAATGTTTTACCAGTGATAGACCATTTTCTAATAGTGCCATCCAATGATCCTGAATACAACATTGTTCCTTTCACCACTAAACATGAAACTTCATCGTAATGTGCTTCAATGATATCAACCAACTCTTCACTCTTTTATTGGATTGATTTAAATTAATAAATGATTGGTAATACAATAAAACAATAACAGCGACAACAATAATAATATATAATACAAACTCCAATATCAAAAATTCTAATTGTTTCATCTCTTGATCCACTAATAACATAAGGATGGGCTACAGCAAGACATTTAACAAAATCTGGATGTTCTAATGTAATATCTGATTTACCAGTCTATTTATTTATTTATAAATTTAATGAATGATTGTGATTTATTAATTTATTTATTAATAAATAAATAAATAATATAATAAATAATATTAATACTTACTTCAAGATCCCATCTTTTAACTGTTTTGTCAGCAGAAGCTGTTATTTTAAAATAAATTATGGCAAGAATGAATGAATAAAAGAATAGATAAATATATAACATTAACCCAATAACACAATAATCACTATTTTCCTATCCTATTTAACCTTCCTAAAATTGTTTTATTTGTAATAAATAAAAAAAAGAAAAGGATATTGTGAAAGTTTTAAGTCGTGCCATATATGATTCTTTACTTATAGGCATATATAATTTAGCACTACTGGATTGTTTTCTACTAGGAGTAGTAATAGTATTAGCAGTAGTAGATCTAGATCTAGATTTATAATGTGAATACATAGTTTGTAAGTCTAATTTAAATCTATTATCATTTTGATTATAATTTTTGGTTGTTGGTATTACTGCTGTTGCTTCTTCATGAAAACTTTCTTCTAACGAGGTAATCAATTCTAAATTTTCTAAAATAGTCGTATCTTGAACTTCTTTTTCCATTTGTTGTTGAATTTTCTATACAAAGAATCAACAACAATAAGTATCAGGCGGGGTGTGTGAATTGTGTAATCAAAAATGCCCGGTTTGGGAAATTTTTATCGGAAATCTTTGAGACCAAAAAATTTTCTTATTATTATATCTTTCTTGATTTGGCTCTTCACCACAAAAAATGTTTTATTTGATTGAAAGAAATCAATTAATTATTTGCTAAAAAAAAATTTTCAGTAAAGAAAAGAATAATGAATGATGTTCCAAGTATTCAAATAAAAATGATATATTATATAGTCACATGTCCGATATATGATTGGACAAATCCGTTTTATCACAATATAATAATAAAAACTTTGCTCGTAGGTTTGACAATTTAACCACAGTTTAAAGAGTTTCGCCATAGTTTAGGCAATTTTAAGTTTCGTTGCTAGTTTAGGTGCCTAAATTCCTAATTTCTGTGAGCGAAACGATTTCGGATTTGCTAAAATAATTTCGGCCACCATCATTACACAATACACAATTCGTGAAGTGTGTATTAATTCAAACTTTCATAAAACTCTTTATTTATTACATGAAACTTTTTAATTTTAATGTAGCATCAATGTTTTATAGCCAAAAAGGTTTCGTTAGCTAATAAACTACCATGAAACATGCTTTCGTTATGTGCATCACGAATTGCATCTTACGTCAGTTGTATAAAATTATGATAGATGGTGCAATGCAATTTTTAATTGCAATTCAATAATTTTGACCTCAAGTATAATTGATACAGTCCAAAAGTTTTCGGGTTTCGGGTTCGCCCAGACCGTTCAAAGCTTTAATCTTGTTTTCTAAAATAAATTTTTTTAAAAATTAATATTATTAATGGTGATGAATTAAAATTATAATTAAAGTTCAATTTGTTTATATCTTTGAGAATTTGACTTAAATTATTGATTGACTTTGATTGGTAGTAAAAATAGAAAAGGAAGAGGAAGAAATAAACAAATTGGCCCAAGATTATTGGCTTCCTTTAATGTAACACGATCCCGCACTCAATTTCCTACACTGACGAACAGGGTTGTTAAAGGTCCAGACCGTGGCCTAGACTTAGCATTAGGGTTTATATTCAAATAAAACGAACATAACGAATAAACTAAACGAATGGAATGGAACAAACGAATGGAACCAATGGAACGAATAAAACGAATAAAATGATTTAATGAATTTGTATTGCGAATAGAAACCAACTGTTCGTTATTCATAATGAATTTTGAATTAATATATATGTAAAACTGTTTTATATACTCTTTTTGAAATATATTAATTAATAATTTGAATTGAACTATGATATTTTTAACAAATCAAATTGAAATAAATGCTTTATGATAAAAAAATTTAACAGTCGTTGATACCTAAGACCAGACCGCGCGGTCCATCCAGTCGGACCATCATAATAAAAAAGATCGTCATAAAACATCAAACGAAAACATTGTTACACGCTGTCCTCTTTTTCACCGTAGTAGTAATAGTAATAGATTGATTTGATCTCAATCTTGTAAAAAGTCTCGAAAGGGTGTTTTTCTGCGAGTTGCTCCGTTTATATTGCAGGCTTATATTGGATAGCTAGAATAGCTTAATATATAGCCAAATTAATTGATAAGTTAATAGACAGAGAGAAAAAAAATATGGATGAACAAGTTGTTGGACCACAAATTGGAACATCAGGAGATAGTTTTTTTCAAACAAACAATGATCTATTAATTCAACAACGACGAGAAGCAAAATGTCAAAATAAGCAAGGGGATCCAATTAAGTGTACCTCGAAAGTTTTATGTATGATGTTATCAAATAGTCCAAATGATTTGGTGGACGGTTGTTTATATATTGGTGAATCAGGATTTATTGCAAAAAAAATAAAATTATCGGTACGAACATTGAATAAAAAATAAAAATAAACGAAATCGAACAATAATGTATTTATTAAATTTTTTTTTGGTTTATATATATATATATATATATATATAATTATTATTATTATTATATATACATACATCAATATAGACTGGTAAAGTATTAAAAATATTTAAAGGGCATACAGGACCAGTTACTTGTATAGGAATGTGGTATAAGGATCAAGAGGAATATTTAATTACTGGATCATGGGATAAAAATTTGAGAAAATGGAATACCAAGGTTATTCATTCATTATTCGTTAGTTAATCGTTTGGTTGGTTTTTTAATTAAAAATTATATCATTAATAATATTATTTTCTAGACAAAAGAAAGCATATTTACTTTTTCGGGTCACGAAGATTTTGTAAAATCATTGGTAATTTCACAAAGTAAATCAATATTATATTCAGGATCATCAGATAAACTTATTAGATCATGGGATTTAGTAACTGGGAAACAATTAAAAAGTTTTCAAGGACACACACGTGGTGATGATGATGATGATGATGATGATGATGATGATGATGGCGATGGCGATGATGGCGATGATTATTATTACTATTATTATTATTATTACTACCAATATTATTATTTTGGTAAAAAAGTAAAGGCTTATTAAAATGGTTTGCGTATGAATTTAATGAAGGAGTTGAAACACTAGATTTTAAATATGGGAATATTAGATTACAATAATTAGATGAAGAAGGAGGGGAAAATGATGATGATGATGATGATGATGATGATGATAGTGATGATGATGATGATAATGATGATAATGATGATGATAATGATGATGATAATTCTTCAACAATTTTAACATTTTCGCCAGTTAATAGATTCATTTTAAATGTTTTATTATAAAACACAGGAGTCGAATATCTTTTTGAATTTTCACTTTTTGAACGATATTGGCGAGTATGAAATTTTTGTTTTTCTTCTTCTTGTGAATATTCTTGTTCTTGATGTTTTTCTTCTTGTTTTAAGTTATTTTCAAAAGAAGTATCATCATCATTATTGTTATTGGCAGTATTTGTTGTTGGCAATTCTTTTGATTTTTTTTCGGCAGCAGTCATTGTAGTTTCATGAATTGATGTATCGGAACATGCAAGATTTAATGCAGTATTATTGTTGTGACGACAACTATCAGGGCTTGTTTCATATTGATGGTTATGAGAATAAGCTGTTGATGGTTGATTTTGTTGTGTACACATCTTTAGTTACCAAAAATTTATTGAAAAAGAAAAATTAATAATAATGTCAAAATATTATTAATAAAATTACGGATAAGCTTTTTATTTGGTTTTTGATGAATGAAATAAGTTTTTTTTATTGAGATTTTGATGATGATAAAGATAATAAACTTAGATTTATTTTTCGGAAATTGAATTTTCATTATCAAGCGTTTATTAATCACATTCAATCACACAGCACATCACTTTTGACATTTGGAAAAGCAAGGAATAATAATTAAGAGACACATGTCACATACATAAAATTTAAAGGGCGTTTTACAAATCTAAATCTAAATGAAATGAATGAATGAATAATCTGAATGAATTAAATTCATCACAAGACATAATCAATAATATGAAAAAAAAAAGATTTATTGGAGTTCTGGGATATTTAACGAGTGGGCGAGTGGTTGGTACGTAATCCCCTTGGTCTCG